TGAATATGTTAAAATAATTCTTGCTATGAGATGAATTAGTTTGAAGGTACAGACAACCCAGGGCCTGTAGTGAGATTCAGGTGCATGTCCAGAAGTGGGAACTACAATTAACAGTCAACACCAATCCTGGATATTAGGGATGTGCAATATATACTACTTTCTTAACCGGATAAGAAAACCATGTCTCACAGCATTTAATTTGAAGGTGATTATGCTATTATGTGTATTTTATGTATATTATATCTTCAGAGTATATGGAAACTTTTTTAAGCTGCCTCCACTTAATTGTTTCATCTGAATAACTAACATCCTTCAGTACTTCCGTAAGCTATCCTGACTGATGCCCAACATATAATGAGTACATGGTAAATGTTGTCCATTAGAAGCTGTTTTCAAGTACACTTTTGTACTTTTCTCACTAGTTTGGTTATTTGATGAGACTTGTTTGTCTTGGCAACTTTACCATACCATTCGTATATGTTATTATAGTTATGTAATTTAATCATCCAGGGTATAGTTTGGGGGGGATTACAAAACTATGGGATTTTAATTCCTAGGTTCTTGCTTAATTTAAAAACAAGGAAACCAAACAATGTAGATGACACTTATGACTTATATAAAAAATACAACTCCCATTAAAGACTGCACTTTGGCATGTCATTAGAGAATGATGATATACTTACATGATTTAAATTAAAGTATTTAAGGGAGGAGTGTATGTGTATGTGTTTCCCTCTTTTTAATAGGCTTTCCTAAGTAATCAGTTACAAATCCTGATCATGTTGGTTAAATGGTAGTTGCACTGTACTTGAAGATGTTGATGGTTTTTGGAACCTAGCCTTGTGGATTTGTGGTTTATTTAGTGAACTTAAGCTCATTTCAGCAAATATTTTTTGTCTTATGTGAACTAATTTGCTGCTGGAAACATACATTTGTCTGTAGTAAGCCCAGACTTTAATGGGGAATAACTAATGCAGACTAATAACTACAACTTCATAGGGTATTTATAAAATACTATGGTATTTATGAAATGGTATAGGAATACAGATAAAAAAGCAATTAATTCAGCATTGGGATATAGAAGTATAGTTTGGTGAAGTTAGAGAAGGGTAAATATTTGAGTTTGATCTTAAAAGGGGAATAGAAGCTACCAGAGACGGGGATGGTTGTGGCAGAGGGGGCAGTGGAGAAGTTGGTTAAGGGGTACAGGAGTACAGTTGAATGGGAGGAATGATTACATGTACTGTTATAGCACAGCAGGGCAACTGTGGTTGAAAATTAATTGTACATTTAGAAATAGCTGGTAGAGAGGATTTTGAATGTTCCTAATACAAAGAAATGATAAATATCTGAGCTAATGGATATCTCAGTTTCCTAATGTGACCACTACATACTATATAAATGCATTGAAATATTGTACTGTATCCTATTGATGCATATTTATGCATCAATTAAAAATAAATAAAAAGACAAGAGTTACTAGGTAGAAAAACAATGGAGAGCATTTGTAGGGAAGATTTGAAAAAGGGCAGAAGTTCAAAGGTGTTAAGCATGTTGGAGGTGAGCAGGCAGTGTGCTATAGGTTGGTAAACATGGGGAATGACTGGAAGTGATGCTTGAAATCAGACAACTGACCATGAGACTTTTTTACCCTACCACTTACCTTATGGGCTCTTAGGAGTTAAAAAAAAGACTAAACACAGGCAAACACTAAAACTGTGAGGCTGGGTCCATTACTTAGCAGCAGTATGAGTTTGTGAACCTTATTGAAGCACTGCATACCAGTTCTTCAAGCAAAATAGGGGTAAAAGTGCCTGTTTCTTAGAATTGTAGAAATTAGGTAAGATCTGTCTGCCTATCTATCTATCTATCTATCTGTCTGTCTATCTGTTTATCTTCTCTCTGTCTCAGGCTGGTACAAAATAGGTACTGTTACACTACCATTTTATACTTTAGATTAACATAGATGTCACAAACATCTGATTCTGGAACATGGGATGCATGGGATGCTGTGGAATAGTTAAAGACAAAAGAAAGAGGTTGAAGGTTTGTTTTGAAGATGTTAAATAAGTTTGTCCTTGAAAGTATTGAAGATGTTTAAGCCTAGAGTGAAAGGATTATATAGTAAATAGGGTGGCTCAGAGGGTCAGTCTTTGAGGATCCATAACTTTGGGATAAAATAATTTTATTAGAGATAAATTTCATTATGAACCCTGTGATCATCACAAATACAAAAATTAATTTATAATTCTGAACAATGGCATAAAATATTTGCCCTAGAAGGGGCACACATGAAGATGAACTTTCTTATGACATTCACAATAGACTTTTCTGTCGTTGTGAAGTCTATACATAAAAATTCTTGTTCCTTTTGGCCCCAGGGATTATCTCAAAGGTTTTTCTTAGCTTTATAATAAATAGATTATTCTTTTGGTGCAATGAAAACTAATTTTAAAAGGGTGAGAAAGTCCTAAGGGCCTTAATTATATACTCTGAATGTCAAAAAGCCTTTAAAATTGCACTTAAATAACATTAAATCTTTAAGAAAATACAATAGGGTTTTTGTTTGCTTTTAATATGTGATTAAAGACAAGGCCAGTATCTGAGCTAAACTAGTAAGCAGATAAAGGGTCAAGTGATTGTTATAGAACATTAGCTTCTATTTCTTTTTCTTCAAGGCTATTATATCAACCTAATTCATTGTACCATGAATAAAACTTGCTTCATCTAAAAAATTTTAAAGATAGCATTTTACTTTTATGGCTTTTTTCTTTTTAAATTCTCTTTTGTATTGTCTGTGATTACAACTTGCCTTGGTTATATTGCTATTAGCTTTGCTTTCTAAGTGGAAAAAACAGAATAAACGTTGGCATTTTACCTTTATTGGAATTCATGTTAACATTTTTTAATAAGCATAAAATAAATTATATCTAAGCAGTTACATTTCACTTAGGATTAAAGTTTCCCTACTTCACTTATAGCATAAAGTTGTTAGGATGAAGTGATTCGGTCAAGTGTCTGTCATATGTATTCTATAGATATTTGCTATATAGAGTGTATGCCTCAATAAAAATTTGAGGAGGAAGATCTGGTAGATATTTAGGATGATAGAGATTGCAGTCTCAGAGGATGGCCTGTTAAATACAAAGGAAAATTGTGAGTGTGAGTGTTGACAAGGACAGTGGAGTCACTATATTAAGAGGGCACAGGTATCTTTCTGAGAGCATTGCATGGCACTTCCTTCTCTGACCATTTTGTGTCAGGTCTGGAATATACTTACTGGGAATGCCCCACATTGTGTCCTATCTAGATTTCCTGGCTTACCATCATACTATTTTCTTTCTACTTTTTATTTAAAAAGCTGAAGATGTGCTAACAGATACTGTTTTTCATTTTCTCTTCATTTTCCCAGTTTTTAAATTGCACATAATAGAATTAAGTACAATGTTGTCTGTATATCTAAATGGGCCTGAATTTTCAACAGTCATAAGTTGATCTCCTGAAATAAGTTTTTTTTTTTTTCTTTGGGGAGATAAAAATGAAGTTATGGGTCAGACTGGTCTTTTGAATCTGCCTGATGGCTATATTCAACAAAACAGACAACTGTGTTGATCCTAGTGCTTTTCTTTTTTCTTTGCTGTAACAAAATGCCTGAAGTAAATACCTTAAAAGGAGTAAAGGTTTGGTTTGGCTTCTGATTTTGGAGATTTCAAGTCTATGGTCACTTGGGTCTGTTGCTTCCTTGCCTATGCTAAGGCTACACATTTTGGTGGAGATCATGTGAATGAGTACAGTGACTCACCTCATGGCTGAGAGGAGGCAGAGAAGAAAAAGGAAAGAGGCTGGGGACAAAATACCCCATTCAAAGGTTTATCCCCAGGGACCTGCTTTCTCCAGTTAGCTCCATCTTCTAAAATTTCTACTACCTCCCAGAAGTGAGTGCTGTCAGCTGGGGACCAAGCTTCTGGAGGACATTCTAGGTCTAAACTATTATCAGTGCTGACTTTCAACTCTTGTAGGCTTTTATAATCTAGCAGTATAGGCACTATTTGAGATAGTCATTAGTTAAAGGAAATGGTGAGCTAGAAGGGATTCTATAGAAACACAGGGGATAGAGCAGAGTTTACATGGAGAATACCCATCTTGTTGGAAGGACAGGAAGCAGGACTCATGGTGATTAGTTGAAGAAGGGGTGGAAGGGCTAATAATGGGTGGAGAGAGATTACAGGGGAAACTGAGGGTGGTCCGAATTGAATTATGGAACAGGAGAGTCATAATAATGTTAATTCTTTCATAGAAACACTGGGGCTGGGGATTTAGCTCAGTGGCAAAAGCGCCTGCCTGGCAAGCGCAAGGTCGTGAGTTCGGTTCCCGGTACTGGAGAAAAACCAAAAAAACAAAACAAAACAAAAAAAAAGGAACACTCATGCACACTGGAGGGGTGAGATAGAGGGCAGTACTTTTTATATGAATATATGTATATGTTTTGCTTGTTTTGTTTGCCTGTTTTGGTTCAGAGCCTATGATAACCTTTTGATTTATATATGTAAATCTAGGAAGGAGTATGACATTTATAACAAGTTATTTTGATTTAGAATTATAAAAAGTCATTTCTAAACCACTGAAAATTTAGCAGTGTCTGAACATGTGTCAGTGGTTTCTCTTAAGGAAGTACTTTGTTTTGATGTCAGTTTATCCTTTGCTTGCCCTCTTAAATTTCAACTCCTTTATATTTTATACTTTTATGGACTTAGATTGCATGAGAAATAATTCAGGCTTGGTCCTAGTCATATTGGAGACAGTGGGAATATGAATAAAACCTGGTTTTTATTTGCTGTAAGTGATACTATATGTGATTTTTAAATTATTTTGGAGGTTTTTCTTTTTTTTACTTCCAGAACATAGATTCTTTTCAGTGTTGATTTTGACTAGTAGTAGATTTTTGATTGAGGCGGGAGCATATAGAAACAAAATCTAGTATGATGATGGCAAGCACTTACCCTAGGTTTTCTGGGGTGCTTCTGGTATGTAGGTGTTGTGCACAGTGGCCTGATGGTCTGTCCTTACATGTGGCTAAGAAAGCATGGTTGCTGTAAGTAGAAATAGTCTCTAAATAGTAGCAGATTGAACTACACTAAGAATTATATAGAATGATAACTCAATGAGTAAGAACTCACTGTTACATTTTTTATTATCTACTCAAGATGTATAATAAAATTGTATTTTATGACATCGTTTCTTTTCCGATACAGTGTTCAACTTGACCAACAATGTGGATTTGGAAAATACCAAAAAGAAAATGGAGATATACCAGAAGGAAAACAAAGATGTCATTCAGAAAAATAAGTTAAAGCTGGTTGGTTGCTATTTTCTTCTTCTTTGTATTAGGAACAAATGCTTTCACGTGATATTTTAAAATGCTATCTTCCTTGAAAGCCAGTTAGATTTACAGTAAATTTAGGCTAGAAATACTTACATGTGTTATATTTGCATTTAGATAAGAATGTGCACATTACTGTAGATAAAACAGTTTTGTCAAATTGTCTTATAAGGAAATGTATCCTTAAGGTCAGTGGTTGTTAATTTTTTTTGTCTGTATAATTGTCTGGTAGGTGTGCTTTCAAATATTGGTGAGAAAATAATGGAAGCTCATTTTTATCCTTGACTATTCATTTCTTTTTCATAAAGTAGGGGATAGTGAAAGGGATCCAGACAGACACTGATGGAGCTCCTAGGAAGGAGACAAGGCAAAGACATCATTCATGAATTCATGAATGAAAAAGTGAATTCAGGGATTCAAAATGACATTCATGATTCAAATACATTTATGATTGAATCAGACAAATGTATAAGCCAAGCTTTACTTTGATTTTCATTTTTTGATAACTTTTTGTTCTAAAAAAATGATACTGTTCTAAAAAATGTTCTACTTTTACTACTTATAAAAGTAATTTTGGTTAGTTTTAATCTAATGTCAAAGTTTGTTTTGAAATATTTCAGAACTTACAATTCATTGTTAAAATTATTCTAGAAAGGAAAAAGAATTATATATATAGAGAGAGATATAGTGGTCTAAGTTACAAACTTTAGCTATCACTTTATCTTACAGCTTGGCCCTCTAGGTTTGGGAGAAAGTAGAAATAATTACCTTTGGGGTTTCATATCAGGAAGTTGTAATCATCACTAAAATGATACAAGAACATTTGGATCATGTAGCTTGTATTTTTATCTCGTGTTTAGAAGGGACTTCTTGGTTTTAGTCTTATAATGTTTCATTTAGGCACTTTTTTTCCTGCCATAAATATGCTGTCAAGGAATTGACACTACAGTCTCATTCCAGTCGTACCTAGCTTGGGTTTCTTAAAAAGGTATCTTGTTTCTGAAAGTATTGTGATGTCATAAAAATTACATCAGAAGGTGCCTGCAAAATCGGTTTGCCTGGGTAACTCACTGCATTAGTCCTGTGTAGCTCAGTCATGAAAATTTGTTTCTATTAAGTGAGTGCCCTTTTCATCCATAGTTTTAAGCTTGGAAATCATCTTGAGAGGGGCTGGGCATTTAGCTCAGCGGCACAGCACCTGCCTGGCAAGTGCAAGGTCATGAGTTTGATTCCCAGTACTGGGGGTGGTGGGGAGGAAATCATCTTGAGAGTTGTAATGAAAGAATAATCTGATTCTGGTCTGGTTGTATTACTTTAAAGTAATTATTGGAGAATTTATGATGATATATTATTGATATGAAATACTCTATTTCATGAATGTTACAATGAAATTATTTGGATTTTTAAAAAGTATTAATGATTAGTACTTGGTTATGTTATAGCTTCTTGTGAGTAACTCATTATCCTTTATTAGCTGGTCATTCTATGTAGAGAATTGTACTTGTTAGTGACTCTTATGTGGGAATATGGCATTGACATAAACATACAGATTTAGGGCCATGTTTTTAGGATGATGCTAACATATATAACATATGTTTAGGTGACTGAGCCCCAAAGTAGTCCATGGATCATGAGCTAACGTACATGTTGATGTCATTTTGCTAACCTGGGGTAGTAATTGCCTTTTACACTCTCTTTGAGTGTTGAAGTCACTGTTCCAAAAATAGTTCGTATATTTTTATAAAATTTTTATAAATTATTTTATGTATTTTAGTAAATATTTTATATATTTCATATACGTTATGTAAAAATGATCTCTTATTTGATTAGGTACATAAATGACTCATTTTTAATAGTGAAACTGTTACTTAGTTTTGAACTGAGGAGGTTATTTCATGGACTAACCCCTGACATCAATACAAGCATGAATAAGGGTGATCTAATCTTGAAATAGAATCTTAGCTAAGAGTGACTTTTTATTTTCTGGATTCTCATGCATAGTAAATTGCTGTCTAGAATGTCTTAACCAAAAATTTGCAAAACATTTATTTTACTACATAATTGTTGCATGTCTGGCAAGTATATAGTGTGCAGTGATGGATAAACACCCTCATTCTCTAGGAATTCAGAATTTCCTAGTGTTATAAGCACATAGAAAGTGCTTTGGGCCTATTAGGAGAGCACAAAGAGGGATACCTAATCCATTTTAGAATATTGGGAAAGGAATTCCTAGGGAGATGATCCCTGAAAAGAGCTTTGACGGATACGTGAAGTTACCCAGATGAAGTTGGAACAGGGCAGGAGTAGGGAGGCTGGCAGAAGGGTATTCTGGGCAAAAAGAAAGAGCAAGCAAGGCAAGAAGGCACGGACAGTTGTGGAGAGCTCTGAGAGCCGTAAGTAATTATATATTGCTGAAGTTCAAAAGACAGCCATGTTGAAACTGGAGAAGTAGGAAGGGCCTGCTTCATATAATACCTCTGTATGATGAAAAATAATTTGGCCTTACTTGGGTCAGTTGTTAGGATTTAGCAGGTGGAACTTTTCTTCAAATGAAAGGTTACTCAGAATACTCTTACATGATAATGGGATGAGGGCTGGCTGCGTTCTTGTCTGCACAGTCTCTTCTGTAGTTTATCTTGGGGTGCCTAGATGAATTTTCTGTTTTTGTGAGAACATGCCTGAGATAATCTACTTACAAAGAGGAAAGGGTTATTCTGAATCATGGTTTCAGGGGTTTCAGTTGTTGGGTAGTTTGGTCCCTTTGCTTTTGGGCCTTGGGGAAGGCAGTCAGTCCCTTGCCACGTGGGAAGAAGCATGTGGTAGAGCAAGTTATTTACCTCCTGGCAGCTAAGCCGCAACCATAGAGGAGGGCCCAGGTCCCAGCTTTCCCTTCAAGGTTATGCCCCCATATGAGGAAAAGACCTCCAACTATGAGGAAAAGGTTCTACCACTTCCGAGTAGTGCCGGAGACTTAGGTATTTAGCATACTTACTCAAACCGTAGTAGCATCTTATTAGAGAATTCCCTGGCCTCCTTAGAGCAATGAATAGAAGCCAGTTGTTGATAACTGCTGTTGAAGGGGTATAAGCAAGGTGGTAATGAGGCATTGTCCTTATTAGGATGTATTTAGGGACTTGGTGGGGTTGAATTTGAGACAAGCAAGCCTTGAGTCTGGGATACCAAGTGGAGGTTATTGTAGTCATGTACGTGAGTTCAGAGATGAATTAAAGAAGAACAGGAGAGATAGGGATGAGTTAGAGAAATGTTTTGAGTTCAGAGTAGCTAGTCCTATTGACAAATTGGAAGTGGGAGGTAAAAAATGAGAGAATTATTGGGTGAAGTACTACAATTAGGAAGATTACAGTGACCTTTAGTCCTTATCCTGCTTCATTGATCGCAGTTTAGTACCTTCATCACCCCTCCAATGTTGAATTTTTATTTTTTGCAAGAAAATGCCTTATTGCAAGAATATTTTTAGCAACATTTGCTCTACACATAAGGATGAAGTCTGTGGGAAAATTATGTGTTGGTACTACTGAATTAACTTAGCAATATATGAAAAGAACAAAGTAAGGAGAAACATACAAAATGTCAATTTTTATATAGGGTGAGAAGTAGGTGTTTGGTATTAGTCATGTACATGTTTTTTTTTTTTTTTTTTTCAGTTTTTCCCACACTATTTGTTGAAGAGGCTGCCTGTTTCCCCGTGTATGTTCTTGATGTCTTTGTTGAGAATCCGTTGTGGGTATTTGGGTTTATTTCTGACTTCATTATTCTATTCTGTTGTCTACATGTCTGTTTTTCTGCTAATGCTTTGCTATTTTGTTACTGTGGCTTTGCAGTATATTTTGAAATCAGGTATTGTGATGCCTCCAGCATTGCTATTTTGCTCAGGATTGCTTTGGTCAGTCAGAGGTTTATGTGCTTCAGTAGGAATTGTTATTGGTATTTTGATGGGAATTGCATTGAATCTATAGATCATTTTGAGTAGTGTGGACATTTTAACAATATTAACTCTCCTAATCCATGGACACAGGAAGTCTTTCATGTTTTTTTTCCTTCTTTAGTTTCCTTCTTTAGTGTTTTTTGTTTTGTTTTTGATTGTGATTTCTGAGACAGAGTCTTGCTAGGTAGTTCCGGCTGGTCCTGAATTCTCTATATGGTCCAGGCTGGCCTTGAACTCATGGCGATCCTCCTACCTTAACCTCCCAAGTACTGTATTACAGGCATGCACCACCATGCCCAGCTCTCTTAAGTATCTTCTAATTTTCATTGTAGAGATCTTTAATTTTTTTGGTTAAGTTGGTTCGTAGGTATTTTAATTTTTAAGAGGCTATTGTAAACAAGATTGCTTTTCTAATTCTTTCTCAGTGAGTTCATTATTGGTGCATAGAAAGGTTACTGATTTCTGTATGTTGATTTTTGTGTCATGCTGTTTTGCTAATCTTTGAAAAAAAATCAGCTCTTTGTGTGGAGTCATATCATCTGCAAATAGGGATAATTTGACTTCCTCCTTTTTTATTTTTTTTCTCTTGCCTGATGGCTGTGGTTTGTTTTTTTTTTTTTTTTTTGAGACAAGGTCTCACTCTGCAGTTCAGGCTGGCCTCAAACTCATAGAAATCCTCCTGCCTTAGCCTCCTGAGTGCTGGGAATACAGGCATGCATCACCATGCCTGACTTCTGTGGGTATGATTTTAGGTACTGTATTGAATAAAAGAAGTAAGAACGAGCACCCTTTTCTTGTTCCTGATTTTTAAGGAAATGCTTTCAGTTTTTCCCCTGATCATTTTGATGTTGGCTATGATTTATCATATACAGCCTTTGTTATGTTGAAATATGATCCTTATATATTGAATTTATTCAGGGCTTTTATCATGACGGGATGTTGAATTTTATCAAATGCATTCATTGAGATACTCTTGTGATTTTCATGTATGACTCTATTATGTGCTATATTATGTTTATTGATGTGATATGGTAAACTAATCTTTCATCCCTGAGATGAAATCAACTTGATTGTGGTATGATACTTTTAATGTGCTGTTGAGTTCAATTTGGAAGGGTTTTATTAAGGATTTTTGCATCTATGTTTTTTTGTCCTGTCCCTGTTGGGTTTCAGTAGTAGAGTAATACTAACTTGAGAAAAAGGAGTTTGCAGGAGTTCCTTACCTTTCTGTTCTATGGACTAATAGGAGGAGCATTGATATTCTTTGAAAGTCTAGCAAAATTAGTGCTGAATCCATTTGCTCCTGGGATTTTCATTGAACTTTATTACTACTTCAATCTCATTACTTGTTATTGTTCTATTTATGTTTTTTATCCTTTTGGCTCAATTTTGCTCGGTCATCTATGTCCAAAAAATTGTCAGTTTTTTCCTAGATTGTCCAATTGATTGGTGTATAGTTTTTCAAAATATTCCTTAATAATCCTCTGTGTTTCAGTGGTTCTGTTGTATTATTTCACTTTCTACCTCTAATTTTATTTACTTGGAATTTATTACTTTTGTTAGTTTAGCTAAGGGTTTGTTAATTTTATCTGTTCAAGAAACCAACTCTTTTGTTTATCCTTTGTGTAGTTCTTTTCTTCTTTAATTTATGTCTGCCCTGATCTTTATTATTTCTTTCCTTCTGATGAGTTTAGGTTTTGTTTATTCTTGGTTTTGTAAGACTTTGAGAAATATCACTGGGTTTTATATATATATATATTTTTGTTTGTTTGTTTGTTTTTGTTTTTGTTTTTCTCTGGTACCGGGAACCGAACTGACGACTTTGCGCTTGTCAGGCAGGCGCTTTGCCGTTGAGCTAAATCCCCAGCCCCTGGGTTATATATTTGTGATCTTTTTTTAAAAATGTAGGTGTTCATATTTATAAGGTTACCTCTTAGTACTACTTTTGTTTTATCCTGTAGATTCTGGCATGTGTTATTTTTATTTTCATTTGATTCTTGAAATTAATGA